GGGAGATGTGGTGGCCGGTTGGAGGCCATCTTAGGCGCAGTGACCACARCGCGATACAGCTTCCAGTTCTCTGTGAAATGGGGAGGGGCATCAGCAAAACTGCTACTTTGGACTTCCAGGACGCAGATTTTGGACTGTCTAGGGCATTGGTTGGGAGAGTCCCTTGGGAGAGGCCCCCCTTGAAGAGCAACGGGATCCAGGAAGGCTCGGCACTTCTCAAGGAAGAAATTTTAAAGGCACTCTGTGGGCCAAAATATGGCCAGGAGGGGAAGGAAGACAGGCCTGGCCCAAAAGCCAATTACTTGCTGAGACTACAGGAAAAAAAGGAGGGGTTACCACCCCTGGAAGAAGGGATAGGCRAGTGGGGAAGAGTATAAGGACGCCACTAGGATATGGAGGGAGGGGAAATTAGAAAGGTAAAGGCTCGCATGGAGCTCAGTCTGGCCACTGCAGTAAAAGGCATCAAAAATATTTCTACAAATACATTAACAAGAGAAGGGTCATGGAGAATCTCCATCCTTTATTGGATGTGGTGGGGAACATTTTCACCAAGGATGAGGATAAGGCTGAGGTACTTAATGCCTTCTTTGCCTCAGTCTTTAACATCCCAATCAGTCATCCTCAAGGTACTTGGCTCCCCAGAGCCAGAAGACACCTATGGAAGGCAGAAGAAGCACCGCTAATCCGGGAGAAGACAGTGACTTCCCTTGGACACTCACAAGTCTATGGGGCCAGATGAGATGCACTCGAGGGTTCTGAGGGAGCTGGCAGGAGTGCTCACCAAGCTGCTCTCCATCATCTGTCAGGGGGGCTGGTCAACAGGGTCCAGTCCCAGACAACTGGAGCRTTGCCAATGTGACCCCCATCTATAGGAAGACTCAGATGGAAGATCTGGGGAACTACAGGCCTGTCAGCCTCATCTCACCATCAGAGAAGGTTATGGAACAGATGATCTTAAGGGCGATCACACAGCATATGTGTGACAACAGGGGAGCAGGTGAATGGAGTTAAATCCAGCTGGCAACTGGTCTTCCCTTCTCCCCACAAACTACAAAATCCCCAACRAAGTCCCCAACCACCACAAGGATAGATCACATTTAAAATAATGGCTACAAAAATTTACAGACCCCAAAGACTTGTGCCAGTCTCAAGTGCACAACTSTTGTTGGAAACTACTTGCTCCCTTGGTTTGCTTTGCTCACCTTGAGCGAGCAAAGCACCTTGAGTGAAAAAGCACAGTGAGCCCACCCTGAGTGACCTTCAAGCTTCACTTGAAGCTGTTTTCCCTTGAAAAATGGAACAGCCTCTCTTGATGTTGCCAGCTTTTTACATGCCCAACTGTAAAAGATACCCTGGCAAGCAATATTTAGCACTGCAATAGGACTATTTAATGTTTCCAGAAGAGAGTATTAAATGTTTTGATATCCAAAAGTTTGATCAGCCATAGATGCCACTTTACTCTTTTGGTAATAGACAATTCAAAAAACAAGTATCCTGCCCCTTGACACTCACACACATCTTTCGTAACGCTGCTCAGAAACTTAAATCAAGAATCATTTCACTTGCTGCCAAAATACTGTCCCTAGTGACAGGACCCCATYTGGGAATCTCCTGACAGTTTTATTTGGGGGATAGTGTGGAGAAAGAAACTTAATTCATTGTGGTCAATGCCAAAATTGTCACTGGTGTCAATGGTTTGTCAAAACTGATTTACTCCATTAATTTGGGGGGTGGGCGGGATAAGATTGATTGATAAGACAAGATTGCATAAAACAGGTAAATGACATAGAAGGTTGTGTTATATACTCAAAAAAACAAATAWTTTTTTCCCCCTTTTAGTCTTGATTTTCCCTTCAGCCAAAAAATGCTCAACATGCACATTGTACATGAAGTGTGTAGAACATATGCTCTACCAGTAGCATCTTGGGACTACATTTTGATTTCAGCTCACGGTGAACAAAGATGACATAAAAGCTAAGCTAAAGAATAAAGAAACTGAGCAGCTGAGAGCTTTGTAACCTGAACTCCAAAAAYGTTAAACCCATCCTGCAGAGTAACTAGCCCTCAAATGACTGGAGGCAGAAAAATGGCTTAAAAGACTTCCCTATAGCTGTACGAAATAAATTCATATGTTAGCATTGCTGCATTAGCATCACTGTACAATTAAGTCAAATTTCTCCTGCAAGACAGGCTTCAGCCCCCCTGGAGCCAGAGGGCAGGTAAGAAAGCTCATTGACAGCAGAGGTGAAGCATCTTCCTGGGCAGTGTGAAGAAGCACAGACACTAGCCAGGACTCAGGCAAATGCTGGGAACCGATACCTGCTCATTTCAGCTASAGCCAAAAACGCACGAGTGAGGAGCTGGTCCACACCATTCTTTTGCAAGCTACAGAAACAAGCAAGCATTCATCAGACTAGCTGGGCTGGTTACAGGGACACTTCTGGCAGTAACAGGTTTTGACAGCCAGCAGTCAAGGGATGTCACATTTTATGTGCACGTGGCTATGCAATAATTGTACACCAAAGCCCAAGAAACTGTCCTAGTGAACACAGACCGACTGCCTCTGCAATGACTGCAGAAACATCAGGTCTATAAAAGCAGGGTAAATGAACAAGAAATGGGAGTACAAAGCAACAGAGATTAAGACATACTGGACAAATTAGAAAAGGATTAAAAATAGCCATTTCTTCTAGCAGAAAGGTGATAATAGAGAAGTACAGCTTCCAGGATTTTAATGTCAGGAATATTCAAATTGCTACCTCCAGTATTCTGCTTGAAAATAAATGGAGCAAAACTGTTCTCTGTGTACGGAGAGTTACCTTACTCTTTCATGACAGGTCTTAYAATCAGCATGGAAAAACACGTTATTAGCATGGAAAAATGTGTTATTAGCACAAAGGCAGTAAGTAAAAGAGCTGGGCAAACTGTAATCCTAGCCCCATCCCATTCTTTCTCTCGTTTCTGAATACCCTATGGACACACACACTGCAGTCTATGACACCTTGGAACGTAAACAAAAATACATTCCAAATGTATTTGAGCTTATGTACAGTAGTTAACATTCACGAATGTAACACACTCCCCAAAATCATGTTCTTTGTTAGGCGAGCACTTAATTTTCTCTACCAAATCTTCCAAAGGTGAAATTAAGAAATAAGAAGTTATCACATTCACTGAACTGCAGCAGCAAACCTAGGAGATTTCCTCTATGATGTTGTATAAATAAATGGTGGCAACATGTATATATTGCAATTTTATTTCATTCGCTCAAACAAAACGTTAGCATGTAAGAAATTGTAAAGGACACAATATGGTAAAAATAGCAGAGAATGAACTGAGAAACTAAAAAGAAGGTAAACCTAAATGCATAAAAATTCAACATTCATTAGTGATCATCTTCAGTTTTGATTGACACTTGATGCTTGATAACTTTTTAAAACAATGGACTGGAAATCAGTATGACTATCTGAAGAGATTTCAGCACCAGCACTAAGATTTTTACATTCAGTTTGTTTGCAGTTGACTTGTTAGCCACTTGTTTATAGTACAGGTTTATCACAGATCAGATCACAGTGTTGAGGAAAGCAATGCTTTCCTGGAATTAGAAAGGATCCCCTAGACCGGACTCAGCTTAAGACATCCATTGTACAAAGTCACAGGACCACCACAATATGTTTTTTAAAGAACTTAGTTACCACTAAGCAAAGTAATCTTAGCTTCTGTAGTTCATTTTAAATACTGAAATCTCTGGAAATGGTGCGACTGTCAGCGTGACAGGAGATGTTTACAGTAATCTTTAATTCAGTCAGGTATTCTGGAAAGAACCAATTCAGCAATTTGGGATTACAGAAAGTATGTATGTAGAAGCAGCACAAAAGAAGACATCTGATCCGTTTTCTTATAAACAGAAATCATGTTAATTTTAGACCAAGGCACAAAACGTTTAGTGCATAAGCCAGTTCCTTGCACAATCTAGTAGTTCATCATTTAATTTTGGACCACTGATACCCATCGCACTATTCCACTGTACTACTCCTGAACTTTCCTAACAAACAAATGAAACATGATTTCTGACAAGGGTAAACTTCCTTAATGTTGAAAATGTCCTCGTAAAACAAAAAAATAACAATAACAAAGATGAAAATGCCTCCTCTTGCGAAAAAACAGTACTTTACAAGCATACTACAGATTTTTTTAATGCCTTCAACAATGCATGCAGAAAAATGTGTTTTTTTTTAATGTATGTGTTTTTTGTCTTTTTTTTTTTATTTTTTTAAAAAAGGTGTAATAAATGGAATTAGGCAATATTTCCACTGCAGTCTTGTCTTCAAATTTGAATCTATAGAAACAGGAAATATTTTAACTGGAGAAAATTTCTGATTCAAGCCATTTTGAAGCAGTAAGTGCTGTTTTGCTTTGGTGTTCAGCACTTAAGAGGGTATGTTATTGAAAGCATTTATTCTACTAATGGAGCTGCATATACTTTTAAGCTGAAACATTAATCTCTCCAAAAGTAAACTTTTCTTTTGGATCAGCACAGATCACAAAGCAAACATGGCACTGTTACAGCTCAGAAAAATTCATAGTGCAAAGGAAAAGGGAAGATTTTCATCCACATTTTTTCCCAAAGCACTACAGATCTGATTCACTGCATTTCTAACTACTGAACTGTACCACATTCAAAAAAAAAATCTACAAGTGTTAAATATGGAAAGAAGGATTTCATCTCTCCTGAAAATAATTCTCYGATTATTGACTAAAGCCAATGGCAACCATAGTTATTTTTCAGGGTTTGGGTTATGTGTGGGGTTGGGCCTTTTCCATTTGTTTGTTTTCATATACATATATATATAGATATATAGATATTTTTAAGAAGGGTGGCAGACTGACTGGGGGGAAGAGGGAGACAAATTACTGTGACCTGATGCTCCATCGTTCCAGTGTAACTGTTGTCCTGTTTCATCAGGCTATGGAAGCAAGGGGGTGTGGTAAAAAGGTAGGGGCTGCTGCACTCACACAGGTGCATCCTTTGTAATTTAGAAGTCCAAATGTTTGCTTTCTCACCAAGAAGTTGGATTCACATGGGAGTTTCAGAAACCTTATGGAAGTATTACTGAATTTCAAATATAAAACTGAAAAAAATGATACAAAAAGGATTAAGTACCTGGTTCCATTAACATGGTTACTGATAAAAGTCACGTTTTCCTCATTATTACACATGCATGTAATATGAAGAAAAAGTGTAGAAAGTAATAAAAATGTGTCACCTTTCCCCTCCCTTATCCCGCATTTTTCTGGGCATAAATTAAGCCTTAAAAATGAAAAGGCTACTTAATATTTGTGACATGCAATTTTTTTTTTAATTAAAAAGCTGACTCTGTTGTGTTACATTACAAAAATGTCCACATGCATAAATCTAAAAAAAGCCCCAAAATCTACCGTAAATCTACAACATACTAATGATTTACATTTGACTGCTGATTCGCATTATGTAGAAGTCTTAGATTTGGTAAAGCATTGTAACAATGTAGGAAGGCATCTACATCTTTAATCTCTGGACTGTATTTGCTTTTTTTTTCTCCTATAAAATTGCATGAAGGCTAACTAGAGAGGCTTCCTATCATAAATTCCAAAATCTCAAAACGTCACCACTGTCTAGGTCATTCACTTACAAGTATTGCCCTTTAAAAGCACACATTTCTAATTGCTCCATATTTAGGATCTGAACGTACACATGTCTGATCTTTTAAATTGTTCATGGAAATACCAGATATGATAGGAAGACAAACCTGAGATACATTTGAAGTACAACAGTGTAACTTGCTAAATCCTTCATTAATAAAGAAAACCTCTCTGAAAAGCCTTCCCAAGCTTTCCCTGTTTCTTTTTTTTTAAACAACAAATTCTGAAACATGTGCAATTTTATCTTGACATGAGAATATTTCAAAGCACTGTGATCTTGTCTGATAGGTGTAGGAATTTCTGCATATTCATTACAGTAACTTTAAGACTCTTTTCCACCTTGCTGTAAAGGTCAGAAAAAAGCTGCAAACTAGGAGGGAAATAGCATATCACCAGAGTGATGCGTCTGAAGCTTTTCAGAATATGTTGTTTCTCCCTCCTTCCAAGTGTCTGTCTCCATTTTCTTCTAACAGCTCACAAAAAATGTAGTCAGTTTTATACCAAGTTAAAGAGTCACATCAGCTTAGTACTAGTGTTTCTATGCAGTATTCGACTTGCTCAGTTCCTGCCTGATAGCTGGAAAGAAAGAGAAAGAGAAAACAAGAAATTAAACATCCTAAGTCAGGGAAGAAAATTAGAATACACAGGTAACCTTTTAAAGAAAATCAATCTCATAAAAGGTGCACGTTAAATCACAAACCATCTTTCTTATAAAAGTGTCATTCTCAACCAGGCAGCACCTCTTTTCCCACAGTATAGCTTTTTAGTTATCTTCATCTAATCTAGCATCTTCAACAAATCTAATACCTTACTTGATGACAACCATTATTTGTTAAGACATGGCAATTTTTTTGGTGAGTTGTCTTTTTTAAAAAGACTCTTAGAGTCCTACATTGGTTGCATCATGGTATTTCTAAAGTGCTACGGTACACAACACAGTCCCAATACTAAAAACAAAACAAATACTCCACACATATTAAACGTATAGTTACTGTTCAAAATACAGGTTAAAAGCACTGTGTTCTCTGTACTGCAGGACCAGCCAGCTCTTTCTACCACATCTGCTGATGGTACCAGTATCAGTACTGGTATCAGTAACAGCTTCAACATGGCCTTCCCCCCAGCCCCTTTCATACTTCATTCTGGCCTTTTCCATAAAGAGGAAAACACTCACATATGTGTTTAGCTTCTTCTACAGGGACACAAACAAAACAAAACAAGAAAAATCACCCTAGACAACCCTACTCAGAGCTTATATACAGATGTACGTAATATATATATAGTGTTTTATTTACTTCCCGATTCTTGGATCTTTATGGTTTTTTTCTCTTAATAATTTCCCATATTTACAGAAGATTATTTTATGTTAAAATGAAAAGATTATCTTGCAATAAAAAACAGGAACTAATTTGAACACTGTGGTTAAGACCAAACAGAAGAAGACTGAAAGCTGAAAGCAACAAGCATAGACTGAACATGAAATTTGGAAGTGTGTGTTTTAATCCTAATGCAGCTCTAGGTTAATTACAAAAAATACCCAGTTACAACCACGACATTAAGGATAAGAATGAATCRCCAAACTAGCATACATCCAACTACTTCTAGACACAGAGTTAATGTACTATTAAAAAAAAAAATCAAAAAGACACTCCCCACATACACAAGAGGAAATAAAACATCCTTAAACAAGCACACCAATTACAGTGTGTTCGAGACTGATGAAAATAGGCCAACAAGCAACACTTTTAGCAGTCTGTCATATTTAGACTGGAAATATTAATTTTAAATGTTTTGTGCATCTTTAGCTACTAAGAATTACTTAGTCCAAGACTCAACAAAACAGCAAATTGATACTTACCATCAATGAGTTCTTCCTTTAATTTTGTTAACTCCTTTCTCATTTCATCTAAAATATCCTATGTTAGAGTGCAAAGTACTAAGTTAGTTTTACAATATCTCATTTTCAACTAAGAAAAGTCTAAAATTACTCTAACCTTTAGATAACCTTAAACAATTTTCAAATTTATTATCCAGCCTTTACATTTAAAATTTAATCCCCCAAATCTAAACCATCCTTACTGCAGGCACAATTAATAAATATCCTGCAAAAGTCCTATAAATTGATTCCTGCAGTATTTATGACAGGTGAGGGGACATACTTAAGTTCACGTATCACACCAATATTATTGATAAATACAGAGAGAGAATCACACAGACAAATGAAAATTGTCCTAATGAGAATGACCAACTTAAATGCTGTCACCTATGCACTGTTTTTTGTACAGTCTTTTCTATTACTGACTTGTTATTTTAGATAATTATTTTCTGAAAACATATTTAAACATCAAACTAGGGAAAAGTATTGTCTGTTCCTGAAAAGCACACTGTCACATCCCAGAATAAYTGTAATCAGAGAGAGCAACAAACATCCAGAAGATTCAGCTTTTTAAGCTTTTCAGTTCAGCTGCTATTAAAACATTAATGTGCAGATTATCTGCTCCGTATTATTTTCCATTCCTTTCCTTTTGCTAAGAACATCTGTCAAAGCTTAAGCGACCTCTCCCAAACTGCACTCCTGCTTGCCGGAGCAAGAGCAGATGCGATGCTCCCCCAAGAGCAGGGTTATGAAAGAAGCCAGTGTGAAGCACACCGAGCAACTTGCAATATGTCACATACYGCCGCTTTTGTCCTAAGACAAGGCAATCCACAAAGAGGCCTAAACTCAGCCTCCTGGAAGCCTGGGACAGCTCAGTTTTATATGTTTATAGGAGCTACACAGCATTCTTTCTGATCCGGAGAACTATAAGCTATACTAGCTATATTTAAAAAACAAACAAACAAAAAAACCCATTATTCTGCTCAAACTGTTCAGTTGGGTTATTGGTGGGGTTTTGGGAGAGGGAAGAAGGAAAGCACTTCCAAACACAGTRATTTCACAATGCCATACATGGTACCATCTTCTGTGTTTTGTGTAATGCAAAATGAGGCACAAACACGTGGGAAAAACTAATATGTTGTGCTATAAATACAAGCTATAGCTCCCAAGAAAATCAAAATAAATTGATGAAAAGTTTCTAATAGCTACTAAATAATTATCTAAGTTTAGAACTAATTAAAGGTTCAAAATTGTTTTTTTTTTAATGACAGCTACAAATCCTAATGCCCAGGTTTTCTATTCAAAAAATTGTATATGTACCTGCTTCAATCTGTCATAATCTAGGCCTTCTGACTGTACTCCATTGGCACTGGGTTGCCCTGTTGGTGTAGATTTTGGTCTGCAACACAAAAACAAATCAATGAATTACTGGTCACTTGTTATTACAGAATACACAGATTTCTCCAAACTTGCTAATATTCATTAAAACCGTATTAAAGAATCAGAATAGGAACAAAAACAAAAAAAAAAAAAAACCAGACCCAAACTACCACACAGAATGGAAACCAACAGCCAAGAACAATTTCCACACACTGAAAATATTAATTACCATGAGGTATTAGTTTAAAACAAGAGCTATTCAACTAGGAGACATATTTCAGTCAGTGGTTTCTGATATTTTTAATAAAGTTCACAGAAAACTAAACTCCTTCAAATGCCAACTATTTCTCCCCTTAAAGCACTTGCTMATTTTCTAAGAGTCTCTCTCAAAGAAACACTCCCTCTGACTGAGGGCCACCTGACAGGACCAGACTATGTAACGTTCTCCAACTCCTGCTCTGAGCATCAGGAGGTTGGAAYAGATGGTCCCAGAGGTTCCTTCCAATGCAAAATACTCTGTGAATTGTTTCCTAAAGCTACTGGTAAATAAAAGCATAAATATTGTAAGAGCAGCAAGATTTGTAGGTAACACCTGAGTGGAAGCTCTAATATCTGGGAGTGTTGTCGCGCCCAGTGTTTGGTTACATAATCCTCTAGGACACCTCAGGTGAGCTTACAAAAGGCTTATCTTGTATTTCTTAAAAACCTCTCAGAATAAGCATGTTTTCAACTCTTTCATTTCTCTTTTCTGACCTTTTCCATTTACATAATGGCATCTCTGTCTTGTAGACTCACTACCCTTCCACGGAGCCTTACATATCCAGGGAGAAGCTATATATTAACAAAAAGGCAAAAATGGCTCTCCAAAGCAGGGAAGGGGAGGTGGTGAGGAACAAAGAGTAAAAGGGAATAACAMGTTACATGAAAAATATTCTAGAGAATGAAACTCTTGGTAGCATCCAAGCCAGTTATGGGGCACCTGTGTTAGTTTCACTTCTAACTTACAAAACTCCATGCACGTTTGAGTCTTGAAGGGAACAGTCAGGTAACAACATACCTCACACCGCAAGCTCTGCGGGCCCTGCAATAAAGTTGGTTCAAACACCTCGTATCATTTCAAAACGCTCCAAGAGCAGCCTGACACTCTCAATGATTTCTCTGATCATCTGGCCAAATTCTAATTCTTTACTCTTTTCCACTGCTTTTTAAAATATCCACATTGTGCTCTTACCTGCTTTTGATATCTTGCCTAACATTCTCAGTGTTTCAACAGAATGTTAAAGCAAGTTKTTTTGAAAATGGCTGACATAACTTCAGAATAAATTCCTCTTAGATAAGAATTTCTAAGCAAGAAACAAAATTTTGGCTGTGCTTTTTGTTCAGTGATGACGCTTGGCCACATGCAGGAACAAAGAAGTAGGACCAGTTTATTCTTTTGCTAGTCTACTCTTATTTAAGATTAATATATCACAATAAGAGACGAAACACTGCATTTTTTTCTAGAATTTTTACCTTTATGGTGTGCAATCTTACTAAGATGAGAGTCAACCAGGAACAGTAAAAGGACAGACCAGTTGGAAAGGCACAGCTTATGTTSTCTCAAATACATATAATATAGAACTGCCTTTTCAGTTCAGAATAAAGCAGAACGTGTGAGAGACATGGACAGGTCTATCCATGAATATAGTTGAATTTTTCCATTTATTTAGATATTTTCAATGTAGCTRACATAAGCTGTGTTTTCACCCATAAGAATAATGGCCCCCTCCTTTTTAGAAAACAATCCGCACTATCTTCAGATAAATTCATTCGTCTTTGCTTACAAGATAGCAGTTCATCCTAAAGAAGTTAAGATTTGTCTGATTAGACTATTTGTTCAGTACTAGCTGAATGAGTCTCATCCTTGACTGTCCTGAAGAAGTTTAAAAATTGACAGAAGCATTTTCTTATTTTCTAACTGAGGGGAGAAAAACGCTTGAAATGCGACTCTCATCAGGAAAGGGGATGCACATTCAACTGCCTTTCTGATATTACAAGAAACATTCTCGGGTTTGTACTCAACCACATATTTCTATTTATTTCTCAGTGTGAAAGATGTTCTTAAGTAGCAATGCAAGTGTTGCATATTTTCTTTTCCACCCAACCTGTGCAGGTCACATTTGTCTCGCTTGAAAGCCTGGCAGCATTCGAATGCACTTTTACAGCTACTGAGCAATTCTGGTGACAAAACATTTTAAATTGGCATGGCTGAATACATTCATCTTTCTTAAGAGGCAAGAACTGCAGTGTAGGTGGTAGAAACCATTCTTTTAAAGATTTCCAATTATTCTGGGGCGCAGACRAGTTAATTCTGTCAGACATAGTGGCAGCAATTTGGGAAAAAACTGCCAGCAGTTAAGCCAGCAAAATAGGTGGCTGCCAGGAACGTCTAACCRTGTCTTGCTGCGGGACTTGGTTATTTGCTTGGGATGAGGAGGCGGGCACTGCTACAGCTGTCTAGACAAGCTAAACACAAGCTGTGAGAGTGACGTTACTAACAGTATTTGACCTGAAACACACTGAAATGAAATATATGATCCACTGGATTTAAGAAAGAACATAAAATACTGAATAACTTCAGAGTGGAAGCAGCTGGAAAATAAGAGTTCACCTTGTAACCCACAGAAAAACTATATTATTCATTAATGCTATGAAGACAAACCACAATTTGAGAACCTCTATAAAAGCCTTTAGATACTGATCTATTAATTTCTAGCAAAGTCCTCATGAAATAATTCTTTGTTCCAAAATGTATCAAGCTGCACTCTTCAACGATTACTGCTTCATTAAATATYTGATATTAAAAATGCTCTTTGCAGTTTTCACCTGACAGGGTAAAAACTGACTTTCCAAGCAAAACAGCAGGAATTCAGAGTCTCTACAGAGTTTCATTCTGATCCCCTCCCCATCACCTTGGTCCCATATACTATGGCATTATGTCATTTACCCAGTGCGCGTGAAAAAAGAGACTGATCTCCTAACATTTTTCCTGACAACTTGTAAGAGGAATCAAATATATGCTATAATGGAAGAACCCAAACAAGGATATCCTAAAAGTACTTACACTTCAAAGAGCTGATCCCTACAGACAAGCTACTTTTCTTTTGTTTCAGATCATTAAGATAWGAAGATAGCACTGCAAATCATATGCTCTTTTCTCCCTCAGCATATTTACCTGACAAAGTTCAAGAGGAAAACCTCTTTATGAACTTTACCACTTGGTCTTAAGACTATATTCAACTTTTTATTTCAAAAGGGTCTTGCAGGAAATGTTTCTTTCAGCCATATCCAAAAGACCATCATTTGCAGGATGGACAATGCCTTCTCTCTGCCAAATCTAGTTTTCTCCTCTCCTAAATTGGGCTTTTTTCTTCTCGGGAAAGAGCTTAAAGGTGACTGCAGTTGCCATTAAAGAGCCAGTAAATGACAGCCAGTAAAACAAAGCAGCCATTGGGTCCTGAGATGGCTACAGAGCTCTCCCATGTGGTTTTTCATAGCATTGCCTACTAGGATAGTGAGGCACCAGAGGTACTTCCATGAATGGCTTAAATCAAACATGCAATAAAGATTTTGTTCATGTCAACATGCAAAATACACCACCCAAGATAAGTAGCTAATGGGAGAACTTTCTATACAAAAGAATAAGTAGTCACCACAATGAATGCTTTGATGAAAAACAAAGCTGAAATTGGAAAACCCTTTTAAAACCTTAAGACTCGGAAGGTAAGCATTTTACAAGTACTGCTACAGAGTGAAACTGAAACCTGCAGCTTAAAATATATGGTTAACACTAAGCTTGAAAATTTGTCCAACAACAAAAACATTAATTTCTGCTTTTAACAATTCTTTTGGTTTCTTTTGCATATCTAAGTCAGGCAAAATCTACTTGTTGTCTTGTGGCAAAAGGGAAAACTCAGCTCAACAGATAATTGCTAGTCCTGTGTTAGAACTTACAGCTTTAAAAGAGTTGCTTCAAGACACTGCAGATGCCTCAGTCAGTCTCAAYAGATCCAAGAGGCATATGTACCTTTGCAGGTGGTGATTATCAAAAATTCAATATTTAACATGAATTCAGCACTGGTTCTTAAACTATCTCAGTTTGCTAGTTTAACCATATGCTTTTAACCATTCCAAAAAAGGGGCTCAACTGGGCAAAAACAATATTAAGAGGAACCTGATGATCTGTGGTGATTACTAATCCATGTAGAAAAAGTCCAACCCTCAACTTCAAAATGGTTATTACAAAGTCTCAAATGGCAACAGGATGATACCTGTTTAATGAATCATAGAACCTGTTTTCAGAACCAATGAGATTTTTCCATGGAGATTCCCGTCTATGAAGGGGAGGAAACACTACCTTAACAAGYTACRTAAAAATTATATTCAACTTTAGAGCCTTAAACACATGTTCTAAGAATTCTGTTGCACACATGTCAGGAAACACAAAAAGCAAAGAGGTCAAATCTTTTAAARTCTGTGTGTTACAAGGTGGGTTTTTTTTTTTTTTTTTTTAATTGGACAGATGTTATTTTAAATTATATTTTAAATGTTCATGCTGAACAATATATCCTTTTTCTTTGTGTGTCCTGGTCTGGAATTTCTAACGGGAGTGCTTTTCTAAAGCAAGCTTCGTTTAACTCCCTTAAGTGACCCGTACCCTCTGCACAGGTCAGAGGCAGTTCCTCTAGGCTTAGCAGATGAAAGACCTCCCCTAACAGATGAATAATAAGCAAGTCTCAGTTTCTCTACTTTTTAATAGAGAAAAGGTCTCCTCAGTCTCCCCCTCCCCCCCAACACATCTCAGTAACCTCTGAATTTCTGTGATGAGCTGAAACAGTACCAGTGTCATAGTGCTTGAGAGGAATCACGGGTGCAGGGACAGGCAGAACCAAGACTGCAAGACAATCCAGACACCCCAAAGGAGTCTGATAAGGAAAGGCTACCCATCATTTATCCCTTTGCTTTTCCTTCAGTTGCTTTTGCATAGGAGATCTAGATCCAAAGGGCCAGCTTAGTGAACATGAAACCTGAAGCTCACTGTAGGATTCCCCGTACAAATGATTTCTTTGATAAATTTTCCTTCAATGTCACATATTAATATCTTTTATTTTTATTCTCTTGAAAACACGCGGTCTCTGCTTAGAGAATGTAAGATCTACTTGAGGGAGGATGTAGAAAAGAAGGGGAAGAGGGGACAAAGGAAATCAAGTCAGGGCGGGTAAAGCACTATTTTCCTAAAACTTTTACAATACTGAGAGGTACAACAGAGAGGACATGACTACCAAAATCATGAGGTTTTTGACAGAGATGAGGGAGAGGGGGATAAAAAAAAATAAAATAAGGCAGTCAGAATCCAAAATAGAGAAATTTTAAGCTACCGATCTGGTTATTTATGAAAGTAAGACAGATCAATAGGCTGATGATGCTCAGTGCTGCTTATTATGAGTGAAAGGCCTCAACAATTTCAACCACAAGAAATGTCTTCTCTTCTCTAATCAAACTTTGCATAGTTGTTTCCAAAATACCAAAATGTTGATGAAAACTCAGTTATTTCAAATAAAATATTCTCAAATTTAAGTGATCTTCGTCTTTCAAGAAATTCAGACAACTTTCAGATCATTACATCTCAGAATCCCTCAAACTCTGTACTCAGAATATACAGGAATTTTAAAGCAAACCACAGGCCTTCTCCTTAATATCAGCATTAACTGTATCTCAAAATGCTATTTAAGGCCATTGTCTTTACCAGCACGAGCAACAGCAAAAAACATTTGGAAAAATACAGCGAATAGTGCCAAAGGGAGTACCTGGAGATAACAGGTGACTTGCTTCCATTCACTGTATTTGTTCTTTCCCAAGGCTTTCTCGTTAGTTCTGTCAAATGGAACAAAAAAAAAGATTAAAAAATGTCCTTTTCTATTCACTGTATAATTATGTGAGAAAGCTTCAAGTACCTGGGAACCTCAGTCAGCTACTTTTTCAGAACATGGCATTAGGCTCTTTCATAATAAACTACCTCACATAGCATTCATCTAATTTTAGGTCATGCTATCATTTATGTTGTGATAACATCTATAAGTCTCTGGTTTTCATAAAGGCTGTCTGAATCTCCAAACCAACTGGGAAAGGGTTTGCCTTTACTTTACAGATTTTATTCCTTCAGTTGTGAACCACAATATCTGAAGTTATAGCCACAGAGTCAACTTCAAATAGTGCAGAGTATGTTTTTAAGACGCTAAAATTTATAATGAAAAGAATTATATAACCACTTCCATGAAACAACATTAGGGATGACATTACTTCATGCAACTAAAATACTTTTTCCATCAACACCACATCTATTTTCCAGAGTCTCATCCAAAAACAGATGCTTTGAAAGCCGCCATATATAAGKGCCCCTTTTCACAGTCCATTTCACTGGGACTGTTCTCGATTTCCCTTTCCTGGCTTACATTATTAGGACAAGGGTTCCAAGARCAGTCGTTTCTTCAAGGTGATCGTCTCAGGTGATCATCTCAAGATAACACAAAACAAAGTCTTCCATCTTTTTAAAGCCTTTCATTGCCTTACAGGCTAATTTCTTTAGACTACCTACTGTATCAAAATGGTAGCCTTTTTATCCATTATTTCCAACAAGACACATTTAACTCCTATCTTTTTCATTCAGTAGCCTGTGGACTATAGGTTACATGCTCAACCCCACACACAAGTAAGCACATGGTCAGGGAAGCAAGTTTGTAGCAAAGACAGTATAAAAGAGAAGTGTCTCAACTCAAATCTTTGCAATACATACAGGCATTTAGTATATGAATATATATACACTGACAACGCATCTTCACCAAGTGCAGTTGATATGCAAGCATTCCTTGCCAGCTGCAAAGAAGTGTCTGACGGTCACATACAGTAGAAGAACTATGCTTGCAGAAKTTCTCCTTCACATACCTATAAACTGGAACAGACACTTATATGCCAGCCTTGAAGGAAACAAACTACTCCCCCTACTTGCATGTCTTATAATGCTTGAAGGACAACATGTTTTCACACTCCCTGCCAATCGCTTTCTGTGCTTTAGGTTTAGCACAGGAGTTCCCTATACTMTTACTTTACCAGTATTATATCAGTATTCTCGTGGGAGTACTTTTATCTGCTTTCTTCTGAGCCATTTGAAAGTAAAATGCCAGGTTTTAATTACGGGATAGGAGCCAAACTGCAAAATTCTGCACAGCTAACAGATTCATCATCAGATTTCAGTGTCACACAGTTCACAAACCCAAAGCTACTTACCAGGTGTGCTTGTTGACGAAACTTTAGAAGTTGAAGACTCTGATTCTTCCTGATTAAAAGGAAGGAAGGGAGAAGAGGGAAGGGAAGAAAAATRCATCATTTGCACCAGTAGAATTATGACCGATACATTGTTGAAGAGTTTGAAAGAGATAATTTGTCAACCCACAGTTTTATCTTCTTTTTGCTCTGGTTCTGTTGATCCCTTTTCAGCAATTCTTCTCCTATAAGCACAGAAAAAAAAAAGTTACCAAGATCACGGCCTTAAGATGAAAAGGTGCTTTTCAAGGTAATTAAAGATATACACAGCTCAGTACTCAGACAACAGAAAATTAGTATTAAAAGAAAAAGTTAGTGCTTAAAAATACACTTCCAAGTGTATTAAGTTTAACACTACCAAGTGGAAGTGTTAAAAATACACTTCCAAGGCCAAAGCCCCTACTATATCCTCTACTGCTGAACAAAGGCTTCCATAAAATTGCTCAATTATACTTTAGCAAAAAAAGGCTATTGACAAAACATTATCAATTTCSCAAGGCAACAACATGAGCAAGCAGATGTTCAGCTGATCTTCAGCCAAACGTGCCAGCTATAATCCAGAAACAGCAACTTACCTCCTGGCCAGCAGGGCGCTCATTTCTTCCATTAATCCACTGCCTCCCAAGGGGAGCGGCCCATTCCCACGGCCACTGTCCGCTTTAGATGAAACGGAGCTTCCTCCTCCACTTGAACTGGAGGACTCTTCACCCTGAAACAGCAGTTCACGTGCAAATATATTTAGAACTGACTTAAAGATACTAAGTTCACATAACAGGAGAAGGAAAAAAAACATTACGTAAAGATGTAGTGGGCTAGTAGTACATCCTGTAGTAATTAATAATTAAGTGTAAGCAAAATGTCTTTTATATGGCTATTTATCTTAGAAAAATACAACCAGTTGAAGTGCACAGAACTTGTGAGCCAGAAAGGAAAAAAGAAAAACAACAAGACAGATGCATTTACCCGTGACACTTTCCTAAGTTTGGCTCCAGCAAGTGCAGCAGCTAGTCCAGTTAASGGGCGATTTTCCTCAGACACAAAGCCCGCTGAAAACCCGGAGGCGGGGAGAGGGGGGGCAGGCGGTGGAGGAGGAACGGGGGGCCCTTGGCTGGGRAGCGGAGGAGGCGGCGGCGGTGGCGGCGGCCCCGAGGGCGGCAGCGGAGGTGGCGGCGGAGGGCCCGGAGGCGGCGGGACTGCTACCGAGGACTGAGCTGGCCCGGGGGGCAGCGGAGGTGGGGGAGGAGGTGCAGGTGGTCCTTGGACAACACCTAATGCCAACGAGAAAAAACAGGCTATGTTAATCACTTAGACTACAGAGATCCCCTTATTTCCATTTAAATATTGTTTTTTTTTCCTCCAGTGTGTGAAAAGTTTCCTAGTGTGTGAAAAGTTTCCTAGTGTTAATTTTTGCCTTTTTATAGCCAAGAAAGCATTGCAGTTTTCAGTTCTTACTGAAGGCATTACATGGCAAACCAGACGACAACAGGCAACGGCAGGGATATTGGGCTACAGCAACCCTCCCGTCAGGCTCTGGGCTGCAACCAAGAAGAATGTTACACAGAAGCAGAGCTTTGAGAAGGAGACACATCAAGTCAAGTTCATAGTGTAGAGGGAAAAACTATTACTCAAAACTTCACTGCACAAGAGAGATCTCTCACTGTAAAACAAGTGTGGAAAACAGCAGTCAAACATTTGGAGCCACAAAATGTTTGATTTCAAAGTTTGTGTTAAAGAATATCTGGAAATATTTCAGAATTGATCTTAATAATTGAATATAAACATTAAATTAGTGAGTTAGAAGACTGACAAATTTAAGCTAACAGGGACAAGCTCCTCCAGCTTTTGACTTAGGATTCCTTTAATTCTTTAAATTCACATTAACATGCAATATAAATCATTTTTTGAAGAAAGAGTATTCTGATTACTGCAGCTCAGAGTGTTTATATGACAGCAACAGTTCAAGAAATTGTGATTAAAAAAGCATCCCCACATATCCTTGCCCCAGTCACCTGCGATTGCAGACAGTCTTAAGCTACCAGAAGTGCTGAGAAACCACCTTAATCTCTCTGTAACAATCTGGACTTCACACAAAATTCTTCCTAGTTTTCTGCTGTGGTAAGGCCATTTCATCTTTCTGGTGGTCATTTAGCATCAACTAGTAATAAAAATGAGGCCACTTGCCCTCAGAGCAGCTCCCACACAGGATCTGCTCTGCACGGCCTGAGTGCTACAGCTCCACGTTCTACCTCGCCCCAACTAGACCGCCCATGCCCTTAGCAGAGCTAGTTCATGCTTCCATGCAAAGATCTAAGTCTATTAAACCAACATAAAACAGATGATTTGGATTAGCAAARACATTTACATCCATGCAAAATACATTTTTATAATGTTGGCAGTGTGTCCCTTAGGAYTGCCAATTGTTTAACCAAACATGTTCCTAAAATCTTTACGTAAACTGGCAGAATACCACAGGAGGGCTCAGGCCTCCAGTGCATGCATACAGATCCATACATTGAAATATAAGCACTACCCAGGAAGAAATGCTGTAGTAGTTAGTTTTCTACACTTTTCAACTACACGCATGASGATCACAGTCATTCAGGTTCATCCTCAATGAGGTTATTCACACGTTCCAGCTGCCTCTATATTTACTCCCACTTTTGCAGCCACAAGAAAACCATCGATGCTGCCTATTAATACAGTGCCCCAAAGAAATCAGCAACGTGAGACTTAGCAAGCAGGTATCTGACACACTCTGCTCTTCATAAATGAGAGCTTAACAAACCAGCGTTTTCCTTATGACGGATCGCCATGAAAACCAGCTCTTCTCCAGGGAGCTTCCAGTTTCCCTTACCATAGTTTCCGAACTGCATTTCACTGTGGTATTAAGATCACTGCAACTTTTGAAGCACTTTATTAACTCTCCAGGGACAGTTAAGGGGGTCGATACAAATTCGTTTTGACTGCGTTCCTGATTAGTGAATTAGTAGCAATAACAGAAAGCCTTACCCTGCTGGGTCGTAGGTTCAACCGGCTGAGAGGCTGCCTGCAAGACTGGCTCAGAAGCAGAGGAGTCTCCCAGCACAGAGTTTAGAGAGTTCTCAACAGAGGCAGGGGTAGCTGCAGAGGGAGAAGGGAGAACACTAGGCTTGGATGAGGGAGTCGAGGCATTAGGGGAGTTTGGAGAAGGAGAAGCTTGAGGTCCAGAGAGTGAGAGAGGCGGAAAGGAAGGCAGCGGGGGAGGAGGGGGTGGCGGAGGCGGAGTTGGACCTGAGGTAGAAGGCGAAGGAGCTGGATGAGTCGCGCTTTCAGGAAGCCCATTTGGAGCAGTAGGAGATGTGTGCGTTTGGGGCACCGCATTCGAAGCCGACACTGGCAGGACGGGTCTTGGACCAGTAGCTTTGCCTGGCGGGCTGCTTATCATGACTGGAGGAGATGGGGGAAGGGGCGCAAAACTGGGCGCGGACCAGGCGACGGGCTTTGCGTTTGGGGGCAAAGTCGCCGGGGCGTTCACAGGAGAAGGGGGCCGAGAACTTTTGTTGAGCTGACGAGGAACCGTAGCGTAATGGGGAAGGACGGGGTGGAAAGCCGAGCCTAGAGATGTAGCAAAACGCGATGCCGAGTGCCTAAGAGGCGGTGTAGGGGGAGTGGAGGTCGGTGGTGCAGAAGTCACTACAGCGTACTCCGGGCTGGCCTCGGCCATCGGTGCTGCCACTGCTTTTGCATATGATGGAGGAGGTGCTGAAGGAGGCTGGCAACTGGAGTACTCAGGAAGTGGAGTGCTATACGGGGAGTTGTCGAAAGATGGAGCTGGACAGAAGATGGAAAGCAGCAGCAAAGGCAGGATAAAAAAAGGAGAAAGAGAAAAAGGGAGCTAATGAAGCAACAAAACCAGCATTCAAACAAAACGTATAAATGTAGACTACAGTTAGTACCAGAGGATTAGGCACAAGTGAAAATACTGTTAGGAAAGTTTTACATATTATCATAGCTGCTTTTAATTTCACCAACTATGTGCCAACATATTCCAGAATGTACTTGTAAATTCAATTTTTTTTTTCCAAATCCCATCTACGAGACTGATTAGATACAGGGTTGATTAATCAATCCTTTACCAGCTTTTATCTTCTTGTTTGGTTGCAAATTGCAAGTGTAGTGATCTTAACATTTGCTCCAGTTCCACTACTGAACCTCAGAACATTGGCAGCAAGTAAAAAGCAACTTTCTCCTCCCCCAGAAAAAGCTCCATCACAACCTGAAAAGTACTTGGCATAAAACCATCGATAAAGTCCTGCTCCTTACAGTGACTGGTCTTACATAGCAACTTCTTATCCCAAATTCTACCCCARCCTGACTTCTTTCAGGGATCAAGTTTGTTACCAACAAACGAGCAGGAAGTGCTTGACTAACGTTCCTTGCACCATGGAAGTGAGAAAGCTCTTGCCTACCTCGGGATACAATTCCACAGGCAGTGCATTACCTTATATACAACTGCATTTAGCTACTGAGATGTTACTACAAACAAAACTAAGACTGATACAAAAGGCATTCCTCTCACTAAGAATTTGCCTTATGTAACTACATCCCCTTTATATTTAAAGCTCTTGAACTTGATTCTTTTRCTCTTCCAAGTTACATTAACCCAATGCGTCTTGTGTAACAGAGGAGACAATGAGCAGATCTAGAAGCTTTAAATCATCACACTTCAATCAATATTGGAGGTGCCAGATAAGCTCCAAGTTCTCCATGCAAGCAGAAGATACAGCAGCATAGCAGAGCAAACAATTTCAAATATTTTCTTTCACAGTTAATGGAAAATTATGACAGAAAAGTCAAAGATCTCTGACTTCTTGCCATAAAAGAGGAAGTAATTCCAGCAAACARAAGACTGAAATACTGATTGTTGTTGCATGGCCCATGCTCTTTCTAACCCACTCCATCCCTCAAACACATAAAACAGAATTGAGTACTTAWATACATTCAGTTTTGAGATTCTTACCAGCATTTGAAATCCTCCTCTCTCTTTCCCATTCCAACTGTTCCCTTTCCAACTGTTCTTGCCGCTCTCTTTCTTGTCTTTCCCTTTCAAGTCGTTCAAGTCTTTCTCGATCCTGCCTCTCCTTCTCTTGCCTCTCCCTTTCCAGGCGTTCTTGCCGTTCCCTTTCTTGCCGCTCTCTCTCCAGTTGCTCCTGTTCTAGACGCTCTCTTTCAAGTCTTTCCCTTTCTAGTCTCTCTCTCTCCAGCCTCTCCCGTTCCATTCGCTCACGATCCAGCCTCTCCCGTTCCAGCTCCTTCTGCCTTTGTTGCTCCTGCAACTGTCTACAATTAGGAAAACAAGGGAAAAATTAAGCTGCAAAGTGAGAACCAAACAATATATCAAGTAACTGCTAGCAAGAAAAAAAAAAGGAAAAAAAAATCATAAATCTTGGCACCAGCCATAACCAAAGCATTTGTACCCACACAAAACTCTTTATTTCTACACGTTAATGTTCTGAATTGGGTAAAAGGTACATTATATTTACAGTAAAAAGAATCATATATTCAGTTTCCTCTTGACTAATTTAACATTCTGAGACACAGCTTTCAAGAGGTAAGAATAGAAAGCTGCTGATGATAATCCACTGACTGATGTAATCTTCCATGTTTGGGATATGTATGGAGTTACATTTGTTCTGTGGTAATTTATACTTGAAACAGTGAATACAACAACAGTGAATTAGCACTATCGCAATGGACATCAAAAAAACAAAACCAAAAATCATTATGTGTTACACATAAACTAGTTAGCTATTCTTTATTCAAATTTTACAGAAAGATCCAAATGCATCCTACAGTTATGCAAAACTAGCCTGAAAAATGAATGGAGTTCCAGTTCCTATTCATGCTTAACAAATACTGGCAGAAATTGAAACACCAGCTCAGTTTTAATGCACTATTATTATTCAAGTCCATTCTCTTACAGAATAACATTCTTCCTTTTTTTTTTTTTAAAAAAAGAAAATGCTGAATAAGCTGAATAAAATATGATAATTGCTGCAAGCAATTACCTCCCAGTTACACACAGCAAAAGGATTTTTTTTTTTCCCTGCTGAAATTGCTACCCAACAGTCTCAGAAGCTACAGAATAATTCTGCAMCTGTATCAGGTCTCCCCTCAGCTCCTGCTCTTACTAACATATAGTAAATTCATAATGGAAGCTGCATGCTAAAATATCACRGCTGCAGCATAAGATCTCACATACTTGATTTTTAGCCTTCAAATTCCTTAAAAAAAATAAACACCCACGTGCAACTAGTAGAGGATGTTTTAAAAGCTAAGATATAATACATATTTTCTAAATCTAACTACTTGTTTGGCAGACAAGTCCCTCCAATATTTTGTTTCCGAGGTCTGCTTTTCTCCTTTTAGAGAGCTATAAAGACGTAAAATGATCACACTTAGAATCATAGAATGCCGAAGGTTGGAAGGGACCTCAGAGGTCATCGAGTCCAACCCCCCTGCTCACGCAGGGTCACCTAGAGCATGCAGCACAGGGCTGCATCCAAGCGGGTTTTAAAGATCTCCAAAGAAGGAGACTCCACAACCTCTCTGGGCAGCCTGTTCCAGTGCTTTGTCACCCTCACAGTGAAGAAATGCTTCCTTAAGTTCCTGTGGAACTTCCGATGCTTCAGTTTGAAGCCATTTCCTCTAGTCCTATCCCTGCCCACCACTGAAAAGAGGCYGSCCCCCTCCTCCTCACTGCCTCCCTTGAGGTATTTATACACRCTGATCAGGTCCCCCCTCAGCCTCCTCTTCTCCAGGCTGAACAGGCCCAGCTCTCTCAGCCTTTGCTCAYAKGGCAGATGTTCCAGGCCTCTGATCATCCTGGTAGCCCTGSGCTGGACTCTCTCCAGCAGCTCCACATCCCTCTTGTACTGGGGAGCCCAGAACTGGACGCAGTACTCCAGATGTGGCCTCACCAGGGCTGAGTAGAGGGGGATGATCACTTCCCTCGACCTGCTGGAGATGCTTTTCTTARTGCACCCCAACTACTACAGAGAAGCAGCCCATTGTAAAAAAAAAAAAAAAAAAATGTATCCAAATATTCATATTTGGTCCTTAATCTGGGGCTGCAAAATTAACACCAAGCTGCACTGGCTTTCTACTAAGACACAGATTTTTTTTAAATATGTACAAAAAGCTTTTGAACAAATTGACCAACTATACCAATACCCTACCAAGAGGGGGCAGCAAAATGCCTTGCAAACATATTCTGTATGTTCCCATGCAGTAATATATAGGGAGAAAATACACCATCCTTGACGATAACTTATTCTATCTGTCTCAATCTTCCCCTCTTCATTAAGGCAATATTATTATTCTTAAAACAAGTAAAAAGCTTGTTCTTTGTGCTCATCTGTAACAAACAGTAAGAAAATAAATCTACATTTTTGGAGTAGTTTTAACAATTTTTACACAACTTTCAGACACAAAACCAGAAAGGGCATGGGTTAAGAGAGCAGCATGTCGGCCATGGAATCACACTGCTTCAATACATCGTAATGAGCAGGATGCATTTMGTAAATAAAAACAAAAATCTTAACAGTAAGCATAATGCAATATCATTTAATAAAATGTATTGTTATTCCAACTAACCTCTAGAAAGCTATTCTATTCTCTTTCGAGGAAGAATCTTTGGCAACTTCACTTTTCCTGCAGTAGTGATCCAATCTGACCAGCTATTTCAGTACCAAATGAAACACTTCACATACTAATAAATTTAGGGCACAATCTTTAGATGAAACTAAAAAAGTGCTACAATGCCCCAGAACACTATCCTCACTATCAGGGCTGCCTGAAAGTACAACAACATGAAAACAAGTAAAAATTATTAACAAGTTGAAAGTATTGGAAGAGGGAACAAAAATGTATCTTGATGCATTAAAACAGTAGTTGAATTAAAAAACTGGAATAGGTTCTGTTGAGAGGGCTTTTCTAAGTCTATGCTCCATATTGCTGTTTTTTCTTTCTTAAGAGCAGTTCCTTGCTTCTACAATTACCTACGGTAAAACCAAACAAACATCTAACACATCCATCAATGTAAAAAGTTGTGCTGCAGTGACTATGAGGACGTGAGCGGAGCCTCAGCATCCTGGAGCCTTCAGGGCTCCGAGCTCCTGCACCAGCTCCTCCGACCCTGCCTCAACATACAGAGCACCAAAGCACCGTGGTGTTTGGAGATTGGGTAGCACCAAAGATTTAGTCTGGACTGCTGGGAGCCCAAGCCCGTGGGCATGGGTGCCATTCGCCAAGATTGTTCTCTTCCTCCCACTGCTGAGTCATGGAGCAAATAAAGCAGCTGGCTGCCAAGAGGCTACACGAGACCCCAGCAGCTAGACAGACACCACCAACACCAGGTGCTAAGTGGACTCAGCTGCAAACTGAAGCCTTTTGTAGTCTGCAAAAAAAGCTGTTAGGTAGCAACTAAAAATAGGTGCATGCAACCTACCAGCATCAGTGCTAACTAGATAGGCCAATTTGCCTACATTGCTACAACTAATCATAGAAAGAGATCAAGAAGTGAGTGCTTTAACATGTTGATTATTTTCAACTAAGCTACTAGTTTGACTTTTAATAGCTTAATCCTCTAATCTTCTGCACAAATCTGCAAAGGTTTCTGCTGCGGCCATTCAATTTTGCAAGAAGTTATCTGAATAATAAAAGAGGCACATTAAATTTGCTTTACCATATTTAATCAGATATTTATTCAGCATTTCAAAATGGAGCATTTGCACCCTGAGCTCACCCTCCAGGACAGTCAAGAGAACCACTGCAAATGYATCACAAGGCCTACACAGTGAGGCTTTAATGTGCTACAGAGCGACTGTGCCTCACTCCTCACCTCAGAGCCCCAGCAGGGTGAGTTTCTCGSCTCTGTCACCTTCCCCCAATCTGAGTGTTACTGCCTCAGGTAAACTCCGCTCTTCCTAATCTAGGCTGACCTCCTGTTACGTGCTAAATGAGCTCTGAGCAACCTAACTGTGGCTTTTTAGGCTTTGAGAGCAGGCTTGACAGTTTTCCCAAGTGACAGGAGGTCTGGGCAACTTTTACTCGAGGGCACTTCAGGCTGTTCCTGAGAAACCCACGCCAGGGCTGGCCAAAATGAGCAAGAATTGGACGCTCTGCAARTCTGCTGCTCAGCCACGCATAATGCAAAGCTGGCCTGCTTAAAGCAAAGATGTTTCTGCAATGAGCTCGTATCCCTGTTCCTGAAGCTGATGATCATTTCTGACTTTCAGCAGCAGCGGACCCCAAGCTCCTTAAACCTAAGTGAGAGATGAGGCTGTTTCAATCACGTATTTTAAAAGTTTCTATCAAAGAACACTTTACACTTAAAGGAAAATTAAAAAGGTATTTTAGTTGTATGTTTGTATTCTGATTTTAAAAGAGTAAGTAAATCTAGAGGTCACTATCTGATAGTCATTTCCCAAGTTTAAGAACCTTACCCCACCAGTGCTGCAGGCAATCCCATTTTYGTAGGCACTAGCGTTAAGTCACCTGATACACTAGCACGGGGTTTACCATTCCTCCTTACCCACGAGAAGTGTTAAAAATAGGGCCCCCAAAATGGGATTACTTTGCATTTAGTTTTTATCATCCAAATCTGCAGTGACATCCAATTCCTCCTATAGAAAGTCACCTTGCATGGACACATCTCAACATGCATCAGCAGCAAGGCTCATTTTGTATCTCTTGTTTAGCAAAACGAGAAATAAGACCCGAGTGATCCCAGTGCATGCAGGAACAACTGCCTGTCCTCCTTACCCTCACACTTCCGTACTAACCCTCTTCTCTCCCCCTTAMCCAGCTCCTCCCCATGCGGCATCTGTCAAATTCCTCACTAAAGGTCTGGGAACACTGGATTGACCAACTACCTTTCTTCTTCCTTACGGGAAAACATTAGCTGGCCACAGTTTATTGTGCTGCATTTTATCTCACATGATTAATTATTCTTTTCTTCAAAAGTAGTTCTGAAGCTTTTCAAATTACCAAGGTCAAACTAATAGGCTTTCATTTCCTTGATCAAAAGGGATTTAAGGACTAACAACAAGCTTTTATGTTACAAGCTCAAAGTGCATTAGCTGGAAATAGGAGAATAAGAGAACAAACTCTGTTTTATCGGTCAATCMAAAACTGGTAATTAACCACTGCAATAAAGACATGAAAAAGCAACTATAAACCTGAAGGTTATTAAGATACAGGATTTCCAATAAAGAAAGGGATCTATTAATGCTCTTTCATCAAACCTCAACTAGAAACGTTACATATTTTTTCTTGCATTTCATGYCTTGAGTTATATTTTCAGGCTGGAGTAGGCACAGAAAACTACCAGTAGTATGATCAGGGAAATATATAACCTCCATAACATCTAACTAAGTTGCCCAGAAAGGACTTTAGGCTAACAAGGTTGTAGAAGACTGCAGCGCTGACAAAAAAATGTACTTGAACTTACGACAGCAGCTATGACTGCCTATAATYGTATATTTAACTGTACATCTACCAGAGGACCAGAGCTGAACATATAACTAGTTCCAGGCCTCCACAAATTCAAAACTGTCTGGCTTCTGTCTCGGAATATCAACACAAAGGTACAGGGGAAACATCTAGACATTGTTTCATTTTGGTTTCTTGGCCTTGATTCTTTTTAAACTCTTACACAAAGCAACAAGGCAACACCTGGCAGAAATAGAGTTGAGAGAGTCACCTGTGCTCTTCAGATTTTAGCAAAATTAAGAATTAGAAAAAAATCTGCCTTTGTGGACAAACCCCTCTTGGTTCTTGTTCTAGAAAGTACAGTAAGGACAGAACTAATTCCATGAAGTGGAATCACATTACAAAAAAAAAACAGAACGGCTTCTGATCCCAAATTTATGCCGAGTATTAAATAGAAAAATGTGAAGAACTGAAAATTCTCAAGAAAAGGTATGATTTCAGCATGTCTGTCTCTTCACTGGGAAAAAGGTCACAAGCTACAGCAGCACTTCTGAAGCAAGCAAGCTAGCAGAGCCTTTACACTATAGAGTAGCAACTAAACGACAGGATAGGATCTTTTTATATATTTTTTTCTTTCACTATTCCCACCTGTGGTTTTAAAACAGCTCAGGAATTATATGATACTATATATACAGCGCACACACGCACACAAAGCTATTAAAAGCATAAATCCTTGTAAGATATTTACAATTCACGATAAGCAGAAACTCGGCAAAAAAATATCTTTAACCTTTAAAAATAAAATGCATTCCTTTAAACCTTTCAATAAAACATAAAAAATGTCCCAGCCTCTGAACTAGTACTAACTAAAACCAAGAAGCCTCCCACAAGATGCTGTGAAAACTACACCGTGTATCAACACAGTTTTCTATCATAGTCACAAACATTTTATGCATTCTACTACAAGTTTCAACCCAATGTATGTAAGCAAACTTGAAGCATTTAACACTGGGGAAGAAAAAAAAAAATCTACTACTGAGTTTTGGGGTCATTTCCGAGTACTTACGACAAAAACCGGTCAACTTTTGGTCCATGATGCCCCTGAAGGCCAACWGGAGGCTTATAGACTTTCATTATTCCTTACAACCTACACACTTTCTCCGTTTGTGGTGTTCGTGGTCTCTTTATTTATGAAGCAGTGATGATTTTGTAGTTATTTATAAACTTTAACTCAATACATTTCCAAGTGTCACATTAGATACCAACTCAGTGACTCATATTCCTGACAACATATTTAACGTGGCTGGAAGAGAAGGTAAATTTACATGCCCGAGTAGCACACAGAGGTATGCCATGAACTAATCATATATCTTAAAATGGTATTTGGCATTAAGCATCTCCAAAGTTATTAGCAAATACATGTCAACTGGCGTTGCTCATGAACAGACAATTAGTGGAATTTGTAAACACTGCCTGCTACCATTCTTACAAAATGAAAAATGATCTGCTTCTATGAAAATGYTTAGTTTCTTAGAAGCAAAATCAAAAGCTGAAGTAGTGCATTTTTTTCCTCATGTTTTAAAGTCGATTACTATTATATTTAAATGAGTACAAATTAAGTAGATTTTCAGTTATCTTCAGGTACTTTGCAGTGATTTTTATAAGGAAGGCACAGAACACATATTAAGGTTTCAAGAAAAAAAGGTAATGAAGTTAGCAACTGGTCAGACTAAATGAATTCATTGACTATCTGATCTATAAATTTTGCCTTATAAAAAACCTCTGTTTTGGATTGTTCTTTTAGTGCTAGCAGCATGTATATACATTAACATATATACATACATAAATCTTTCTTGACAACATTTACTCTTCCCTACATTATGGTAATAAGATTATTATTTTCATCCCAATTTGGCAGCCTGGAAGTTGAAAGATAGCTGCTAAAAAACTCAAGAGCTTTGGCATACAGCTAGTTGAACTGCACTATAAACAACATAGTTATGACAATAAAAAGMCTGGAGAAGCATTTGAAATGTTTACCAAAATCACAGGCTCTGCCTAGGCAGCATGACACAAGAGGAACATTCTTTCCAAAGGCCACCTAGCTGCCAACTCAATCAAACACTAACAAAAGCACCCCCCCACTTTTCTTTTTTCTTTTATAAAAAAGAAATTGGGGGAGGAGGGAGGGGAAATATCAATCAAAAGCAGGACTGGACTTCAAAGAGTGCATTACACTAGATGCAAACAAGTAGAGCACACTGATCAAATGAGAAGTGAAACCGTAAGAACGCCAGCAGGTAATAGGGCCTCAGGGTGAACCCGATTCCAAAAGAGACTCACTTTTTTTCAGAAGAGATACTCATCTACAAGCCTTCTCTGAGAAGTATTTCAACATTAGACTTTTCAAATAATACAGCTTTTGAAAAGATCATGGAAGGGGAAAGGGGCAAAACAGAGTATTTTAGAAAGAAAAATACCCCCCCAAAAAATCTCAAATTGATATCATGACAGCAGGTTCACATGTGAACATATTAAATGCAAGCTTGTAATGAGTTTCTTGTTATTTGTTATTAAACAAGGAGTCCTGTAGACAGAAAAAAACCCTGCTTACATTTAAAAAGTGACAGATACTGTAAAAAGACAGACAGACATGACTCATTTTGATATCAATACTTTGTTCAACAAGTATCGCTAATTTATCACAAACTATTTTCAAAGTACAAACTGGGTTCTGGTGTCTACTGCATAAATAACTTAAATGCAAAATAGGAAAAACCTTTAAATGCCATTGTCAATTAGACTCAGTACGCTAAACTACTTCCCTGGTTTCCACTGACAACCATTAAGTGCATTTGCACTGTAAATCTCAACCACTTCACATTCATTCAAGAACCTTTTCCCTGCATCTGTGCTGCGTGTGACCTAAATTGCTACCAGGATCCCTCCTGGAAGGGAACAGTTAATCTCCTGGAAGCATTTTGATGGTAAAATAATCCAGGATTGCTTGTACAGGCAGTAYGGTTGAGACAACTCAAGGTCTTGGTCCTTTCATTGAGCTCACTTATCTACCACTACCCTACAGGACTATGTAGTTTCATATCCCCATACCCTAGATGCTGCACCTACAGCATTCGCCCTCATAATATATATATTTTTATATATTTATGCACATAGACACATATATATATGCACACACATATATAAATATATATACATACACTCACCACACACCCATGGAGCATGGGATAGGGTTCAATATCATCATGCAGGAGACACAAAGCTTAACCTGGGGGAGTGCCACAAAAAGGCTGTACAGCTCTAAGTGGCTTTTGTTAAGGACTTTTGATGAGATCAAGGCTGCTCCTGTCGCAGCCTTGTACCAGAACAGCAGCATACAGAGAACTAAAGATCCCCAGCGGGACAGCTGCCAAAGCCACTGTGGGACAACTGGTCAGAAATACAGGGATTACGCCCTGAGGGACAAACATACATAACCTAAAATTGCTGCAACTGAAAGCTTAACTACTAAAGATTATATAAATTTGTATGCTGAAAATGGAACCTTTTTTTCCTTCCCTAAAAGGACTAATAATATTTTATATTATATAAACATTGTTTTCATCTAGAGCACCCACATTCAGTAAGAAAAATTGTCATTCCCCTTGACAGTTTAGTTCTCTACTTCTGAAGGTTAGAGGCAAGTTTCCTCCTTGCTTGCCACACCGTCTTCCTCCTTTATAAGCAGCTGTCAAACTGAAGAGGCAACAGAGAGTGACTGGAAACCAATTAGTCTGCTTGGAAATAACTGAAATCTTTAAACCTTTCCATCTGATTTTCAACTTCATTTCATGACTGGCTGATAGCAAGAAGCCCCACGCTGCTCAAATAGGTACAGATCAAGAGCCTACAATCAAAGATTTTACACAGGAAGGCTGCAATAACAAAAACTTAATATATACAAATGTTATCCTAGTGGAGAGAGTACATGCAAGTCCTTGAAATTTTAGTTTGTCAACACTTAATGAAGTGTTACTCATTTTAAGTGAACAGCTGTTCACTTACAGCACCTTACCTTCTCTGGATTTCCAATTCTTCTTGAGATGGACCATTTTGTACTTGAGAGGGAAGCTGTGAATTTTGTCGAGGCAATGTTGGACCTGAAAGACGACAGACCATAAAATAAACAGCTGAACATTTACTTTGCAAAAAGAACAAAACCAAGAAACAGGATAGCCATTGCAAGATGTGACAGGAACTGTCCATTTCTATTTAAGCCACACAAGCTCAACAACAATATAATTCAAGCTCAATAATACGGCAAATAAAAACTGCACTGCAACAAATATTACCTTAATATTTGCAAAATGGATTTATTTCACATGAATGAAAAAGTTTCACAGAAACRCAAAATAAATTTCACATAGGACTGGACACAAAGAAAGCTTTGAAAAAGCACTCCCCATCTGAGATTTTCTTACAATGAAGAAATGCTCTGAGGAACAGAAAATGCTCAAAGAATTATAACACTCACCTAAATAGAACACTGGAAATGGAAARGAACAGGAGAAAAAAATATCAGCAACTTATTATCATACCAAGAATAGGAAAATAAAGTCTGTTTCCRAAGATCAGTCCAAAATTTACTACAAGATTTTGGCTTGTCAACTTGGATTAAAGAATGTTTTCACATTATTTGCTTATCCCACTGAGGAATAGAGGCACCTAACAAGCAAGGAACAAAACATGCACAAAAGGTGCATTCTGCTAAAGGCCAGAGAAGGACATGCAAATTAATTTGACTTTTCACAGATAAGCAACTGCGCGTTACACATCTTTCCAACTGAGTATGCTGGATCTTTCTTAAAAAAATCTGATTTGCTGACCAATCTTTTTTACAGACAAATTCTTTAAAAGGAATCAACAGAAGTGAAGGGCAGAAATCTGGAATGGAACAATATATATCCTGAACACTTAGTTGTATGTAAAACTGGGCAGGAATGTACCCTATCAATATAGGTAAGATTCTGGAATTTATGAGTAAAGAGAGAAGTTAAAATACAAGATGACTGTATCCAGGTTTGAAAAGGTTCCAAAGCCAAAGGGAATTGTAGCTTCTGCATACATTCCATCAAAGCAGTTGGAGAGAAGACACCTTGTAAGGAGATCTCACCCATCTCAAACATCAGAACGTAGCTGTTTGCTGCCCKAACTCGTGAAAGTCATCCAAAAACACAAAGAGACTAGGCGTGATACACTGAGGCATCAAGGATAGACAGCGGCCTTGGATTCACCACTCCGTCTCCTGTTTAAAGCTTACATGAAAGCATTCATTTACTCAAAAATAGCATGGGATTCTTTTCCACTGCACTCAAAGTCAGTGACTCCTGAAAATGCTAAGAGCACAGACTGACCTTTTACTCAACCCTGCAGTTAAAATCCTTTGGTTGTGCTATGCCCATATAGCTGTTCTATTATATCTAATATATTTTGGTATAATAAAACGCAACCTAAACATACAAAAGGCTCTCAAGAAAGAAGTACTAAGATATAATTTGGCTCATTCTCTGACCATTTCTTCTCTATGAACACGGACTGTTAATACCAGTATCCATTAGCTTGACAGTTAAAGGTGCCTTATGAACACTGCAAGGGACTTCAGAAAGAAATATTCASAGACACAACTGGAAAAAAATAGATTCTATCTAAAGATCATTTTAGCATCAGAGAACAGCACAAGCCAAGTAAGAGATGAAGCTGAACATACTATTCATTCTGGGTTTTGTTTAAGAAAAACCTGACATCTTTTTCTAAGGCCAGTACAGACTGTGCACTCCATGCTGTACCTTGAGAGACAGCACATGGGATATTCATTTCTTCAGCAGCCATCCCTGCTTCTCAGCTTATTCTCACCTCTGCATGACCTTCCTCTCTAACAGTTCAAGCAATTATATAAGAAGAGCTGGACTGGAAAACAATCCATTTAACATATCCTAGGGGAAAAACCTGGCAAGAAGTGACTTTACCAGCTAGATCAAGTATTTGTTCTGGTTCTTCATGCAGCCACATTACTGGTGGAGCACAGAACAGCGACAGGCTGCTGGGGGGCTGTGTAAGCCAACTCAGGTATCCCAAACACCACTATTTTAAACCACAGTTACAGCTGTAGTTTGTCAAGGTCCTGAAATCCATTTGCACCACAGATAGGCTTAACTCTATGGCACCTTCCATTCAAGAGCTCCATTTGCTGATTCCAGTTACACATCTTATAAAAGTATAACTAGCAAGCTGGAGACAGAAACACATGGCTTCTCATCTCCCCATGCCCTTAAGTGCATGGACTTCRTTATCTGCAACTACACTGTCTGCTTTGGAGTTTCACATCAAACTCTTTCCCTTTACTCCTCCTTTAATGTCACTTGGCTTATGTCAGCAGTATTGACATAGCACTTGACTGAAAACAAGTTCGTCACATTCCTAAGAGAATGATCCTAAAAAGCTAGCATCTACTGTCTACTACAGCACCTGCTGTTCAAAATGGAAATAACATATGGACTGTTAGTTATAAGTACTACAATGTATACTTTCAGTTAGCTTGACAGCATGGATGGGCGCTAGTAACGCAAGGACCAGTGGAGGGTCATTTGGGAGCCACTAGTTCTCCAATTGCCAAAAGTTTTCCTCATAGTGCTGCTTCCTGTRGCTGCAGAAAGCGAGCAAATGAGAACAGGCCTGCAGTTATTGTACCAGTCAAAACACAGCATTAAAAGAAGATCCTTTTTCAAAAGGAAAACATTTAGTAACTTTAGACAAATTTTGTCAATTATATATCACATYTGAGAACTCTAGCTCGAGAAGGGAAACTCTGTTTTTTTCCCCAGAGAATAAAAGAGTTTATAAACAACTCAGTATTTAATAATCTCATTTCATTTCTGACTAAATTAGTATCAGAGCTAAGCAGCACTTCAATTGCAGTCTTACATTCAAATTAAAGTGGGAATGATTGAAAACAGACAGCAAATTGATTTATATGGGCACAAGAGCTATATGGATAAGAGTATCCAGCTGTTATAAAATTAGCATAGAAAAGCATTCTGAGAAATTAAAGCATCACCACATTTTCTGTCTTTAAATCAAAATCGAGAGCTCAGGCTCATAAGAGTTTGTTATTAAATAGAGGACCTCTGAATTCACAGACTACAGCCAAATTTCACAGAAACAGGTCTTCCATGCAGCTGATCTTTGCACAGCAAGTTATAGATATGATTTTGTACAGCAAAGAAAAAGAAAAAAAGCAAAGCTTGAGATTCTTTATTAAGAGAACTGATGAAAAATTTTTCTAAGGATTATAACAGACCACTCCAGCACTCCCACAAAGAACACGTTCCAGACAACAAAATCACAGCAGAACTACCCTCCTGCTCTAGAATAACTTTTAAAATATAGTATGTGTGTATATATAYACACACASRYTTTTTTTTTTTTTTTTAAATAAAAGCAAAACATATATATATTTTTGGACATCTATACTAAGAGGTTATAGGAAAAATGACTATGTTGAAGTAATCATCTTCACTGGTCTCAGCCTCCTCCTCCTTTGAGCCAGAGCCGCTCCTCAGCGTTACCTCCGGCAGCGGCAAGGCTGGCAAAACTTGCRAAACTGGAACCGGTTTCCAGGTCTGGGCTTGGACTATCGGGGTGTATGAGCAAGAACTAAGAGACATTTGGAGGACACTAAGGAGTGACAGGCCAGCTACTGATGCCAGCACAGACCACACGGCCCAGCCTCAGGAGGACTGTGAACAGCAGTATTATAGAGAATTGTCACTTCTCAGGCACAGTACTAAAAGAATCATGACTGCCTTGGTATTTTCACTGTTATAGTTGCACGACACACTCTGTTTACAAAACCAGCAGATTTAATATAGCTGCAATTGCTACTGGAAATATTTTAAAGACAACAGTATGAACCCTCAAAAGCAAAACATATTAACATGCCCCAGTGTTTATTAAACAAGACTTTACCCACAAAATTAATATGTTATACTTCTGTGACTGCTGTGAGCTAGGTCAACTGTTAAATCTTAATGAAATTCCCCCAAAGTTTAACACTTTCTTGGTACACCCACCAGTTTGAGGATGACATAAATGAGAAACGCCACAACGTAATACGCAGAAGTGAGTAAAACTGAAAACTTGGTATTCTTCCCTCYATCTCTAAATATATCTACTAAAAATAATGATTTCAAACAAACAAAAAGAAATTAAAATAGAATAGACCTATTTTGTCCAATACAAAATTAATTGAAGTTGCTTTTATATTAGTATTTTGGCACATAGATCAGTGACAGTTGGAAAGAGCTATTACAGAATCTGGTAGCTACAAAGCTTTTCACTACACATCACACATTTAAAACAACAACAACAACAAGCCTTACAAGCAAACACTGAGGTATTATCCCATTTCCATCAGCACAGGGAACATTCCATCCCATCATTACCATTCTGACAGTCTCCTCCAGACGGCCAGAGCACAGCTTCCCACCAGCACTGCCTCATCGCAGCAGGACCGGTTTTCCCCTCAAAACAAATCCTACGTGTGATGGGAAGTGGAGCGGGACGGGGAGAAGCATTTGAGATTCTCCTCCCCACACCAACACCCTTTCCTAGGTAGAGTTATCACTTCAGTTTCTCACAGTCTCTACACGTAACCCGATTAGGCAACTCCAGTTTTCACTGCAGTTCGCACTTCCCAAAGACACTGAGTTATTCACTCTATGATATGAGCAAATGCATTCCCCTATCAGTAAGGGCTTAATGAACTATCTTCTCTGTARAAAAGTGGGAGCCCACCCAGCTTCTATAGCTCTGGATAAAGGAGCACCTTTTCTCAAATGTGTTTGATTAATAACTGAACAGCCTAATCTTACGCATTACTAACAATTTSAAAGAGATCTAGCCTCAAGTTTGTTTCCAAGATTTGATTTACAAAATAAACAGGACCAAGAATTAAAAACTTAAGCTTTCTCTTCATGCTAAGTTGTACCTGTCATTATCTATCCAGAACATGCCAAAAGCATTTCAAACTACAACCATACAATAGTTAAAGACAYATCAAATGTCAATGTGAATCCTCCATGCATGCAATTAGATTAGAAAGGCTGAAAACAGGCTTAGTTCAGGTGTGTGAGATCTTTCAGTTAGTTATTCTTTTGATGCTTCCACCTTCTGTGATAAAYGATGCAAAGATCATCCCTAAATGCAAATTACAGATTTAAAAATATCACACTTACTTTCATTTTCCTTTTTCTTAAACATTAGAGAAATTTCTCTCAAGTACCTTATTTCCCTTCCTGAAGCTTTTGCTCTCTTGTTCCAGAGTCACTGGGATTGTCATGCTGAACTCAACCTAATGCTGATAAAGTTTTCCTTGGGATGCYCAAACCCTGACGAAAGCATCATCTTCACACCATCAAGACCAGCTACTGAATATCCAACCCATGCTGAACAGGACAAAGTCAGATCTTATCTTCAAATAAGTTCTCAAAGCAAGGGCACATTCCTGCAACTTCTGAACATCTTGGACTATTATTTAAGGAAATGAGAAAAATCTTTCAAACTCTCCCAAAGTGAGTACTAAAGCCAAGAGTGGGTTCATTTGCTGTAAATCTAAGCAGTATGGAACAGAAGTCTGTAGCTTTAATAATTTGGTTAACCTTAAAATTCATGATTAAGGAGCAGTCCTCAATGAACCCTGTTCTGGATTTGCCAGCMGTCTATGATCTGCTCAACTATGCTCTGCTCAAGCTAGCAGTAAAATAGTGTATAGCTGCATAGCTAACTGCTAATGCAATCGTTTAAAGCAGAACCAAGTGAAAACCCCTTTAACTGTTACACTGATTTAAATAAACTGAGTTCAAGCAGAAGAGAAATTATGACGATCACGTAATGTCACAGCATTGCAAATCACCTAGGGAGGGAAAAACTAATTTTAGGCTACAGCGTATTTCAAACAATTTCCCTGACAAGGCAGATATCACTTCAGAGGCCTCTGAGACAAATATGTACTCTCTTTCCTAAAAGAGAACTGCCACTCACATTAAAGCCTTTATTCCACTGCAGCTTCAAACACTTTATTCCACGGTCTAAACTGATTAGAATGACAAAGCGGCTGTCACGGCGCGTGCGATGGCTCCGCACATCAAACCTCTTTGCTTTTACAGATCCACTAGAGGGAGATCCTAAATTAAACAATGTCAAATTATAGCCACATAAAACAGGCCAGGATCCCAGTCCCAAGGGGAAATCAACTGCATTTTTCAAACACACACAAGAGCTGCAGACTGTTACTGTGTGTGTGAGGAATATGAGCGTTAACACTTCACTTTTAAACCAAAAAAGATGTCAACAAAAACATTTTCAATATTCCTCAGAAGTCACTTAGGTTTCTATGAATCTCTAGAAAGTTCTAAATTCATCTATAGCTTTAGAAATTTCAGACTAGTTTGCTAGGTTATGATGAAAACTGTTTTTCCTTTAATGAATAAAATGTAACTATTAAAAGAAAACTAAATAAAAATTATCAACATGAGAAAACTAGGCAGAAAGATTGATTTATGGAAGACACTTCCACTAGAAGGCTTCAAGGTTTGAATCACAGATGAAGTTACTCAGATCAAATTTCTCTGTTTTATTTGAACTGGAGATTTTAAACACAGTTTTAGATGAGAAACATAGCAGTTTGCATAGATTATTACAGACAAGTTATACTCTTCAAATACRAACTTCTGAAACAGATACCACATGAGACTGCATGTATTCGTAGTTTAAAAAACAAAATCTCAGATAAATCAGAAAAGGATAAAGTATATAAAGTACTGATCTTCATATATTACTACAAATTCCTTCAGTAACATACCCTTCTCTAGGACTTTTAATGGAGTTCTTTTTTAAAGGCAATTTTGTTTTTAAGAACCAAGGAATTTAGTGTCAGGCAGTTTAAGCAGACCTAAAACAAGCAGATAACACTAGACTTTCTGAGCCAGTGACCTGTCAACTTAAATATTTGGTGATGCCAGAAATGCCAGAAAAAAGTTTTTGAAAGGCCCTGCACATTATGCTCCCGCATACTCAGTGCGGCTACAGAGCGCAGAAAGCCCTGCATGGATGACTAAACAGAACAAAGCTTTTTAAGACCTACGAACACAGGACTCTTGAACTGTACAGAAGCTAAGYAGCACAGTTTTGTTTTCAATTAAACACATGCATTTAGTATACTAGTTAAACACCAGAGCATGATGCATCTCAGCTGCATCAAATTTTGGTGAATCTTCAATGAAATACAACAGGACCTGTGAGTCAAACTAGTTATTTGAAGCAGTTCATGTCCCTGGGCATGTGTAGTTCACTGACACCAAGGATCCATTTCTAACTGTAATTTCTGTATGTTATTCAGAGACCAGAAAAGAAATGCATTAAGCTTGAGCAAAGAACCTAATAAGGGTGTTTCTGAAGCACAAGCTACACAGTATTCTATTTCCATTACCAAAGTGGTCACATTCAGAAAAATATTTGATAAATCTCTTTTAATTCTTATGGTGACAAGGGTCAAAACCAATAATATGCAGACCACATACTGACGAACCTGCCAGCTGATAAAAATAAGGAGCAGTTGCTGAAAGTATTTGAATGCCCATATGATAAGAAGACTTATCTTTGTCTGGAAAGGAACCTTACAAAAGGTTCTTCGTGTACATGTGAAAGGCATTTTTCTGTGCAATAATGCAAAACTGCTCATCTTCAGACATCATCTGCTGAASACATTCCAACACACCGAAGGCATTAATCTTTACTTTTGTATTATCTTAATAGAAATCCAAGCAACTATATATCTGTGATGCAGGCAAACTATTAGCTAATATGCAAGTTCATCCTGAAACAGTCACAGACTTTCTTGGTCCACAGAGGTAAGGAAAGAACAGTGTTTCTTTCTATGCTGATGGCAGCCAGCACCCATTTGTACCACAGTGTTGATGTGTGTTGATTTTTGTCTACTACCACAAAATGGAAGCACAGGAAGAACAAAGCTGTTTCTTTACAATTCAGAGAACCTCTATGTTACAATCAGTCTCTTCCAAATATTATGCAAACTGTCCACGGCCCTGTCACATCTGCATCTCAAAGACAGTAAGAAGAAACTGGGTAAGCTATGGCACTCTAGCCAGTGACCTGGGCATGTTACCATACTCTGCTCCCATTTCATAAACTGTTCAAAAACCTTGAACTGTAGGGGTTTTGAGGGTTTTTTTTTTTTTTTTGGTATTCTTAAAATGATATTTTAAAAATTCCCCATAAAATGGTTTTAATCTGTCTAATGAATCTTTAAAAACTTCAGCGAATACTTTAGGTTACCAAAATTTCTTCTAACGAAGAGAATGAAAGCACACATGGTCAGGCCAAAGAGGCTTTGTGTAAAGCAGAGCCATCATGACAATCAGCAGTAAAATTAAAATAAAAAACAGGCAGACTCATTCCAATATGAGCACTGTCATGTCTGTACCCATCATTTCAGCATCTACTAGCTCAATTTTCATGACAGACCACAAAGGAATAAAATTAGATGAAGAAAAAAATATATATACTTCTTTACACATATGCATACTATATACACATATAGAGAGGCAATGGGAAACTAAAAAAAGACTGGGGTCATTACCATAAATCAGACCTATTCAGATTTTACACCAAATGATTAGAAATCAATGCTTAGTGTGTTCTCAAGTGCTGGCTGCTCAGATAATAAATCCCTAGAATACATTAAATTAAGCAACCCTTAGGGAAAGGAGAATTGAGTTTAGAGGAGATGATATCCAAACGGTAAATGAGAAAACACTCAACTGTATTATTTCAACTGGCAAGAACACCTTATTTTAAATATTTGTGTGTGTATACATACACATACATACACACACATATACATACACATATATACATATATATTTGGCCTTGTACACTGCATAACAGCATTAGCATTGCAGAATGTATTATCCTTCATCTTCTAGACAGCTTATTTTCAAAGGTTAAGTCCTGAAGCCAGCATTAGAATGAAGACAGACTTGATAAAAATCACCCTTCCTTGCTGTTGTAGAGTCACCTCTAGCAAGGTCATCCACAAACTCTCTTCTATGTAAGAGAAATRAAATTGGCATCTCTTGTTACAGGAGCAAATTTTAAAGTTTAATGAGGACAAAAGAATTCTATCTGGTTACAGGAAAACTAAAGTTTATTGGCAGTCGTGCAAGTTAAAAACTCCCTGTGTTTTGAGGCATTATGCTGATCAATTTGAGCTAGTGCCTCTTCTACAGTATGTTGCAGACACCAGCCGAGAACTGAAACCCACCAAACTCTCCTTCAATTTGATGATGGATATTTGATGATTTGATTTGAATGTTGTACGTTATCCCATTTCCTCTCTAGAAAAGCACTAGTGAAATGTAGAATAAAATACCTTCTTTTTAAATTCTATGTGATCATTTTAGTAACTCCTGACTCCAACATCTCCAAGTCAGAAAACTCTGCATTGCAAGAATCCTATCTTACTGCCAGAAAGGGGGTTCTAAATTCTAGTGTTCTGGGTTTTGCAGTGCATGTGGGTTCTAAAATTCTGAAAGCTACTACATACCACAGATGAAATGAAAAAAATGAGAACARATTTGCTGTTGGGAACTGTATTCATTTGGATGACAGTCAAAGTCACAGTTGAGCAGCAGCAACTAGTCACAGGAAATGGCCTAATAATTTAAGTGACTAGAGGTTGAACAGCATTGCTAGAAACAAGGCTTAACTACCTCACCTTTGTGCATATACGTTTAATTTTTGGAAGTCTGAATATAAAAAAAAAAATAAAAATAAGATATCCTTACCAGCTTCCTGTGAATTTAATACTTCTAAGGCATGCATCATGGCACTTGCGAAGACATTGGCATCTTCTTTGCTGCCAAAATTTAGACCATACACCTGTCTGGCATCACGCCACTGGTGGAAGGTCTGCGTAGCTTGATTGTACTTCAGCCCTTTTGGAATGGCACAATTTATTACCACCTATGATTAAAAAAAAAAAAAGTTTAAAAAATACTGTTTCTTCACCAGTTTCACCTTCTGCACATTCATTTTGTTGTCACAAGATCACAACATTCACAGTTATTTTAATTCCAATACTGCCCCAAATTGGTTATGAGAATAGACAASAGAACAAATTTCATAACCCTCTTCTGAACTCCACAGTTAAAATATTAAATCTCAAATGATGCTGTGAAGTTTCACAATAGCAATTTAATACTAACATTTCCTCCTCTTACATATCTATCTTTTGGAAGGAATGATAAAGAGTGTACAAGGAATGTCCTCTGAAGGATTGCAAAGTGATGAGCAGCAGTAAAATTGTAATAGTTTTGCTGGTTTAGTCAAAAAAAGTAAATTTATTATTTGCAGTTTGCATCATTTTATTGAAAACATCATTAGTGCTAAAAGCAATCAATAGAGTAGCTTAAGTTTCCAATCAAAAAGCTTTCAGAGAGCCACTTACCTGATGATCCTGAATCTTCCTGCCCACTACTCTAAATGTGTTGTTGCCTGTGTGATGGTATATATGAACTCTGCTGAATCCAGTTGATCCACCAGCTGGGACCCATTTCTTATTGGCATCATCATAGACCATTACTGCAGCTCGTGCTTGGCAGATACTCTGCTCACTGTTAAAAGTGAAGTATTTGAGATTAGAATATAAAATTACTTATATCAAATCATCATATTTTTATTATTTGAAATGTTAAAGTCACCTTCTGGGAAATTCACCTTTCATAAATACAGAACTGCAGGCACACTTTGGTATTTCACTTACAGATGAACTTACTTTTCAGATGTTCTGAAAAGCTTTGTCAGAATAGACATAAGATTTAATAGATGAGATTGTGGTTTTCCTCACCACCAACCATGAATTTTAGGTAAACTGTAAACTCTCTATAAAGATCTCTGTAACAACCAAAAAAAAAAAAAAAAAAAAAAATTTGCACCATTTTTAAACAATTTACATTTTCCAGGCACAATTTATTCTACAAGAGGACAGGAAGGTCCTTGCTCCTTTCAGCAACTTTAGAAGACCATATATCACATATTCAACAATACAGCTTGACAGAGAAAAAGTTCATCTGCTCATAAACAAAACGCTTTTTGTTTCTGACATTTTTGGCCTCTCTGCATCTAGAAGTTGCCTGATCTCCCTCAGAAAAGATTATCTTTGATAACCATCAGCCTCAGTTTCATCAGGACACTTTACTACTTTCATCAGTTAATCTACAGCAGTCACCTGGAGGGTAAGATACAGTCTTAAGTTAAAAGGAAGCCCAACACAAATGTGAGCATGTAAGAAAGCAGAATGTAAGAGAAAAACACCATTAGGATAGAAAGGGGGGGGGGGGGGGGCTACACAAGCTGTCTTTACTGGAAATGTCCAGATGCAGACAGAAAACAAAAATAGAAAGGAATGGTTTCTTATCAGTAAGCAACATTGTCTGCACATACCAACCACTCCAACAGATGCAACACTAGAGAAGGGACGTGAGAGGCCTGGCTTGCAAGGAATGCAGCCTGCCGTTCGCAGAACTGGGAAGAGGGAGGAAGAGACTGCTTTTGTCATTCATAAAAAATGCGTAAGTAATGAAAAACACACTCATACAAAAGTGGGGGGCTTCACAGCTTGCTTTAACAAAGCAAAACAAAAAAAGCAGGCCAAGTTTCTCAATTTTGTATCTCCATCTCTTCACAGAAGAGACCACGGCAGTGTGCGCAGCTGTTTTTGTTAACTCTCAGTACTGAAGCTCTTGACAGAACATAGCATCAGTTTCCATCAGCCTTTTTGTGGCACTGTAGCAGCCAGAGAAGTGCTCAACACCCAAGAGACTTTCGAGACGAGAGAAGGCAGATAATGCCTCTTATGGAAGCCAGACATACAAGATCAGGTCAGGAAAGAYACTCTGTTTTCTGAAGTCACACGTATTCCAATCTCAACAGCTACTTGGCAACCACATCAGAGCAGAATAACTACCTCTAACTATGCCTTACTCCTAGCCAGAAGTTTGTTCAATATAGTTAGAATGTACGTGCATCAATGAAGTTGTAATGTATGTATGGACCTTCATGTCTACAATAACGAYCTCAATGGCCACATCATATCCAAGGAGACAGGGTAGATGCAAAGGCCAAAGCCCCCCTGAAAGTAGTTTGCTGTTTTGCAGACCCACTAAAAAAGCATGTCACGGATAGATACAAAGGTTCCCCAAGCACAGAAGAGCCACACAAGAACATACAAGAAGACATCTTATTTTCTCCATTTACAGAATTTTGGATCACAACCATTTTGCACAACTCCCAGTCCAGAAACCACTGTGTTTTTCAGAGAGGACAGAAAAGGTGCAGGCACCAGCGTGTTTCTCAAATGTGTGACTGCAGTACAAGACCTTGGACGAGGTCTGAGCCTGAAACAGGTTTCTGCTGTGTCTGAGTTCAGATTCAAGACAGGCTAAATCCTAGGTGCCGCACTGAGATACTCCCTTGGAAGTGGAGCCACATGGCTTGCAGAGCTCTTGCCTAAAATGACTTCATTTCAGATTCACAAACACATGGTAGCATGATAGCAAAAGTAACACACCAAGCTAAGCACAAGCTAACACACCAAGATTATGACAATGGTAAAGACGGAAAACGACTGAGTGATGACGGTTCAATGACGAGGCTTAACCAGTGATCTAGATGGCCAAACCCAGAGGCTCTTATTTCACAGCTCTCTTCTTGCTCTTGYCCCAGGCGTGATAAGAAAAAAAAATACAAATTTTACAACCATTGGGTGTTCAATTGGCACTATCTGTAAGCACAAACAAGCTGACTGCGTGGGCTATTTCAAGTTTTCCCTTAACCAGCCTTAAACTTTTTTAGTTTCATTTCAGAGGCTCTTTATGCATTATAACTAGAACTACTATACAAGAGTCTAGACCTCAAATATTTCAAACTCTATTTAAAGTAAAAGCATTTTCTTAACAGGATTGGATTATTCCTGCCATTTACTTTTTCTTGGCAAAACTTCTGCRCTCTAAAATGATTATTTATTTTGAGAGAAAGCATCAAGGCAAGAATCTTCYGGACTGCTGTCAAATACTGACTTGATCAATATTTGATAAGAACATTTAATAGAGTTGTCTTTTCTTGATCCACATCTCAAGAAAAGCACTGAATTTCACACAGACTGTTACTAGTAACTGGCCCTGCACCCTCCGCATTCCTCTGCTGAACATGAACTCAATCACCAGCTGAAAGGCACGCAGACCGGCCGAACCACAACCGTGTCTTTCAACACCAGTCCTTGCTCTCCTGGTTCACTGCATTTCCCTGATCTCTTCACTGACCTGAGCATTTAGAGATGAGCTCTTCCCCATCCCTAACTTCTTGTCCCTCAAGCTGCAGTAACCGACAGGAAGGTGCTAGAACATCCTAACTTAGCACCCAGTTTGCTTGAATCATCAAATACGCTTTCAGATAAATTACTTTAGCATTWTTAAGGAAGAAATAGTTTAAGTCAAGTCACAACAGATAAGAAAGCATTCTTCCTCTCTTTCCTGTGCCATTAGGCCTTCAAAAGCATCCTGCAAGGTTTACTTGCCCATCTGCATTTTTTATAAAAATCACAGGAATCATTACACTTGGATTAGTCCACACTTTCCCAACACCAGAGCTCAGTGTGAGACAGGGAGGATATAGATAAAGGGATCCATCTCTGGCTTCAAATTCGCCTGGATGTCAAACCACACAGCTATCCAAAGAACTGATTGCCAACTTAATGCAGGGGAGGAAGGACAAAATTTATAGCTTGACAAATAGTCGAATTCATATATGTTGTTCTTTAGATGTCTATGTAAGACTGCGAGTGTTTAAGTCAATCACTATTCTGGATAAGTCCATCTGCCTTATAAGGCCAAAGACAGATGGGGGTAGAGGGGGAGAGAGGAGYCTGGCACTCAAAAGGCTCACAGAAAATAATAAAAAAAAAACATAGTAGTAATGAATCATAAGATTATTCATATGGGAGATTGTACTTTCCTCCCCCAGTGATGAGCTCATACAGAAAACTCAAACCCCCTAGCAAGCACAGCCTYAGCACACACAAGAGCTGAGCTCAAACGGACACGTTTCCGTTTTCGTATCCCCGCTTCTTATGTTCAACACGGAGTCTGCCAGGCTAAAGTTTTAATTTAAAAAGTTGACCCTTTTGCTTCTGCTAAAGRATGGTTCCTTCTAGTTAAACAAGGATAAAATGATTTAGACAACCAAATCCATGAGGAAAACTGCAAGGCTGCGGCCATAGGGAAGAAATTTGGGCAGACCAGGGACAGCAGAGAAAAATCTAAGACTGTGCCCGCTCTTCATCCACCCTTAGGATTGCTGGCAGGGATGTGACTGCGGGGGTTTTTGAAGATACATGATGCTACTGCTGTTTCTTTTTAAACTGTGTGGCACAAAGCTAGAAAAAAAGCCCTGAACATCTCTAACATTAATGGCCTAAGATACACACGTTCACAAAGCAGTACAATCCTGGTTTAGATACCAAGTTTTCAGTCATTTTGGTGGCATTTTGTAACATTATGTCCTCTGCTTGTCCCTGAAGCTCTATTGGTATATCACAACTAAAAYTTAGGTTCTCCACTTCACTATAAAAGATAACACTTACACTACAGCACTACTTTCCTAACTATAACAGACACTTCAGAGAGAAAGCCAGCAAGTTTCTATAAACACGCCATTCTGGCTCATATGGCTTAACTCAATAGTTAAGCTATTTGCTAACATCTTAAAAGTTATTGTAAAAGCTTTCCAACACTTTCAAATAAACTGCACACACTATGGTCTACGAGACGCGGCCTGAACCTTATCATCGGTGCAAATTCCCTCCTTGGTTTGGGAATATGGGAAGGGTTTAGAGGGCTGAGAGGAAGGGGAGGAACTTCGGGTCATTTAGGATTTAGCTCCCACTCCGCTGCTCCCACTCTAACCCTCCTGGTGCTTCTCTATAGCTGCCAAACAGAAATACTAGGTGCTTTGCACTGTTACTTGCATCCAATCTCAAATGGCGTGGCTGGCCCATATCCAACGCTTCAGCTAACACTACCTACTTCTCTATTTAGCTTTTGGTCCAAGACTAATTTGAGACCATCTGACTGACGTATATAACAACTTTGATATTCATACAGATTCTTCTTCGGAAACTGGGACATAAGGACAACTGTGACTCGATTTCTCAAAACAGGCTGCCCTGAACCAAGAGCTGCCATTCAAATGGAAGATGAACTCAGAGGAAGAAGCTCAAAATTAGTCCTCTGACAGATCTCTTTAAGGAGCTGGTTCTTGCCTTTGCCTAGAAAGCTCTTCACTGATCACGGAGATTCATTCATCTCTCCCACRTCTTCACCTCATTAATAATGTGGAATACACATTAGCTGCAACATTAAAAAAACAGCAGAAAACCTGGATGAGCAAGCTCCTGCTAGGAATAAGACCACTGCTGTTGAGGAGGAACAAAATCCAATGTTGGGACCAAGGAAGGGTGCTTTGCTTTCAGCACCATGCTCTGCAGCAGCTCAGTCAGCAATTTCAGTTGCTGYACAGTTTGCTGAAGCTAAACTTCCTTTGCTCAATGAACATCTTC